GGTGTTTCAGCAACAGTTTCCATAAAGCTCCGTGCAACGACTCAAAGATCTTTCCTGTTCATGAACAGCTAACCTAGAGCTCATCCCTGTGTAACATAGCTAGATACATTTTTTCATATTTGTGCTTTTTAACATCTTTTATCAGTCTGTCACTCAGTATCGTGCGATCCTTTTGCAGCCAGTTTGAATATTTACCAGCTGGAATATTTGTGTGTTACTGCAAACCTTGGCCACTTCCCCATTCCTCTCATTGTCCAAGTCCTTGTGAGTGTTTGGACAACGCAGTTTACTTCTGGGACTGTCCTGGTAAGTTAACTCCATGGTAAAGGCTGACCTGCTTCTTTCTCTGGTTCTGGAGATGACCCTGGGTGGTACTGCGTGCTGTCCTCTCGTCTTCCATAGCCTTGACCTTGCGGGAGAGCAGGAGAGGCCATACCAGGGCACGGCATTAACTGAACTGCCTTTATTCCCACTCTTGCTCACGGCCTTGAGGAACTCCGTGGGGCTGTGAAGCAGCACTCTTCTTTTCCAAAGCGCAGTTAGTTCTTCCCTTCTCTGCATTATGCTGGTTTTTTACCAGTTTCTTCGGCAGGGACGTCAGGATTACTGACGTGCCATTCCCTGCATTGCTCTCAACTTACAGAATCATAGAATCATAAAATGGTAAAGGTTGGAAGGGACCTTAGAGACCATCTGGTTCCAACCCCCCTGCCATCAGCAGGGACATCTTCCACCAGCCCAGGGTGCTCAGCGCTCCATCCAACCTGGCCTTGAACCCTGCCAGGGAGGGGGCAGCCACAGCTTCTCTGGGCAACCTGGGCCAGGGCCTCACCACCCTCGTGGTGAAGAATTTCTTCCTAACATCTAATCTAAATCTGCCCTCTTTGGTGTTTGCTGCCTGCAGTCTTTCTGGTGTTCTGGTCACTTCAGTGATGAGTTATATGTTGGTGTTAACAGTTCACCAGTTTAGTCCAGGATTTTTCCAGAGCCCTTTGGCAAACACTCTCTTGTCCTCTTCTCTTCCTTTCTTTTCAATGCCAACTTTACTGGCTGGTCGTAACATTTTTACTGCCACTTCAGACCAAATCAATCCTCTTGGATCATGCCCGTGAAGGGAGGCTGTGAAGTGCTCCGAGTTCCCTCACAGAGAAAACTGAGGCTGTCAGGGACCTTCCTTCGCCGAGTTCTTTCTCAGCCCTTCTCCCTAAAGACTCCTGCAAAAGGGGAACAGAAAGGTTTAAATGGTTCTTGGGGGCGGGGGGGAAGCGAATAATCTCCTTTCTGTAAGCATAGTTGATTCGGTGAGAATTAATAGGCTTAGACTGCAGCAAAACCAATTCAGGTGAGGCGTTAGAAAATACTTTCCGGTGTCAAGGAGAAGGCAGCCCTGGGGTGGGTGAGGAGTCTCCCTTTTCGGAGGTCTCGAAAACAGGTCGAGCGAGTGTCTCTGAGGAATGTTTCAGGTCTGGCTGATCCTGCCTTCGGGCAGCAAAGTGGGCTACGTGGCCTCTCAGGGTCGTGGGGTTTTTCTGCTCTTTTATAAATGAAGCCCCCAAGTGAGGATCGAGCACCTCTCTACGCCTGGCTTTCCCCTGGACCTTTCCACGTCCCCTGAGCTCCTGGCTGCTCGGTACAACCCGTGAGCGGTGTGGGCACGGCCGGGGAGACAGGGTGGTGTGAAGGCAGTGGGTCTGGTGGGAATGAAGTGGGAAAGATGGCAAGGATAGGTTAGAAAAGAGAAAGTCAGTATTTTATGAGAGGTGGTGTGGACAGAAAAGGTAGAAGAGAAGGAGATGCCATGGGGTGAGGAAACAGGGGAAAAAAAAAAAAAGTGGTAGCAAGCACATAGGGGCTGCGGAGGAGCTCTGCACCCTGCTGACGGGGTGACAGGGGGAGATGGAGTGACAAAGCCAGCAGCTTTACAGGTCTGGTTGACAGTGTCCTACAGGCAGTGCCAGGGCCAGGGTAAGGGCAGAGCTGGCAGTGCTGAATCACCCACGACTGGGTCCAGACACTGCCAGGGAACCAGTTAAACCCAACCCCACCTCTGGGATCCAGGAGCCAGGCAGCATCGTCCTGGGAGCAGGGCCTGGCAGAGCATCGACGTGACTTGGAGCGGGGAAGCCCCGGCTGGAGCAGCGCTGTGGGATCCAGCGTAACGCCCGTCGAGGTCCGTCCACTGACTGGGAGCCCTGGGAGCGCTGGTCCAGGACCGTGGTGGGATTTAGGCAACGTGCACGAGACCTCTTTAATTTTGGATATGAACATACCGGATTTTGCCTGTCCTTTGCCAGTTCAGAGAGGCTTTCTGTAAGAAGAAATGGCTTCTTGGTGGTGGCTGCAGAGGAGCCCAGCCCAGCAGAGCAGGGGATGCTCTGCCTGCAGCAACCCCTCCCTCCCACCCTCGCGAGCCCGTCTGCAGCCACGCAGGCACGGGTCTGCGTTCAGAGGGATCCCTCGATCCTCTCTCTGCAGCCGGGGCCACCTCTTGCGGCGTGAGTCCTCTGCGTTGAGGAATCTCGGAATATTTGGTTTTCCGCCTCATCCTGAGGTTGTTTTTCGAGTCTGCCCTTGTTCTGTGAGCACTGTGTGCAGCCGTGGTCGCTCACTCACAGTGCGAGGGCCAGGGGCAGATGAAGTGCCCAGAAATGCAGTTGTGGGATGCAGACAGTGAGAGCCAGGTCTTGCTGCTTTGCTGCTGCTGGAGGAGTTGCCTGTGGGGGACCAAACGGGAGGAGAAGATGGCAGGAAGAGGGGGGCGAGGTCGTCTGGAGCAGAGAGCGGAGGAGCACGTCGCTGGGGTGGGTGACGCGTGTGTCCCCGGCACGGAGAAGGACCCTCCCGAGCTGTCCCCTGGTCACCTCGTACAGAGTGCTGAGGAAGCGCCTGGGCTCGGCCCCCAGCGGTGGTTAGGGTCTGACGAGGGGCTCGTCGCGGAATAACGAGGGGGCTGCTCGTCTCCCTCGGCTCCGTGTCCAGCTGCCCACGTGAGGAGGGGTCTCGGCTGCAGGCACCCGGCGTGGCTGTTGCTCTCCCGGCGCTCTCGGCTGCCTGCCCGTGCCCTTCGTGGGTGCCATCGTGCCCCGGTGGCAATGCCCGAAGCAAAGGGACGCGGCCTGAA